TGACTAGAAGGTAGGAACTAATATGTAGAAGGAATCTCTTAAAAGAAAAAATATATGTAAAAATCCAAAAAGTTTGGTATTTGCTAAAAACTGATGATCTCTGGTCCTTCTATTCTCGCTTTTTTTGCCATGAAAATTTTCGAGGCTGATAGAGATAGAATTTAGAACGAATCTTTTAAGAGAAAAAATATATCAGAAGAAAACAAATCTATGAAAACCGAATTTCCTAAAAATAGGTTGATGATTTATGGCCCGTGCACAATCTAGCAGTACGTCCCATTTATCTGGTTTAATGTTTAAATGAACTCATAGGAAAATATTAATAATGGGAAAAAACGAAGAAAACAATATATAGAAAAGAATAAAATTGAGTATGTGCTACAAAACTGACATGATCGATCCATTCTCACTTGTTGACCTGTTAATCAGGATCTCGGATGATGAAGTTAGAACACACAAGGAATATCTAAACAGTAAAAGAAATCAAAAAACTATGAAAACCCAAAAAATCGAGTATTTACTAAAACTGGTAGTCCCTTGTTCGTTTATTATCGCTGTTTTTCTAGTTTGATTGGTTAGTTGATCATAAAGATTTAAATTAAACATATAAAAGAAACCTCATAGGTAGAAAATAAAAAATTAATTAAACTCAAAAGATTAAGTGATTCAATCGAAACTAGGCCGGTCTCTGGTCCGTCCGTTCTTGCTCCTTTTCCTGAATTATTAAATATGAAAAGAAATTTCGTCACTTCTACCATATACGAACGGCCGATAAACGTGAAATTATGCTAAACATATCGATACGGTGGACAATTTCTTTAACGTCCTTCAAGGCTGTCTAAGTACAAAGGTAAGGAGTAGAGAAAATCAGTAAGAAGAAATAATTTTTATTCGTACAAGTTGGTAGATCATTTTTGAACTTATGTCGGTTAAAGCTAGACTTACATTTTTACTAATATGTGAACCAATCCTACCTTCCGTCATGCTCAATTTCTGTCAGAGTTCTGCTAAACTTTGATGCCAGAAGAAGAGTTTTAACCCTCGATGTTAAAGAAGCTTTATTGTTGTCGATCTGAATAAAACTGGCCAACTCTGGCCCGTCCATACTCCTCCTTGCACTGAACTAAAGACGATACGTAAAATTAAAAATCTTGCGTCATCCTTGCCATACACGAACGACAGATAGACACAGAATTGTTCAAAATGCATTGATACGGAGGATAAATTTTTCAACATATAAGGCTAACAAGGTTAAAATAGACAAGCTACATGTACAGAAAAAAGGGGAGAATCAGAAGAAAAGTGTAAAGGTTTTGTTTTCTTTATCAAGGTGTAAAGTCCAAGTTTCGAATACCAAGCATGCCAGTTTTTATCAAATTCTAAAGTACAAAAGCTGTCTCTAGTCCGTCCATTATCGTTGTTTATATGGGATAGCTTGGTCTTTCCTCTACTGAAATGTATCTATAGTGTAATATCCTGTGTAAACAAAACTAAGCGAATCATAAAACATACATTTTTTTCTGGTGTGAAAATTACAACATATCCGTTACAACCTTAATGGGACTGCAAAACTCATCCGCTGGAGAAATAGTTTTTGGACTTTAATAACTCACCGTAAAGAAATACAAGTAAAGTGAACAAAAATCATTGTTCAGAAATCGTGAGATGCTGTCTGGTGTGATGTAGGTTTCAGAAAAGCATTTTCTTTATCGTGCCAACGTTTCGATCTTTATTGAGATCATCTTCAGGGCTCAAAGTGTTTGTCTTCTGTGTAATTGTGCCATTCTTGCGTGTCGTGTTGAGAGTGCACTCACACAGAACAACACGACACGCAAGAATGGCACAATTACACAGAAGACAAACACTTTTAGCCCTGAAGATGATCTCAATAAAGATCGAAACGTTGGCGCGATAAAGAAAATGTTTTTCTGAAACCTATATCACACCAGACCGCATCTCACGATTTCTGAATAATTATCGATTAATGGTCACTAATCACCACACAAAAATCATTGTCACTCTTGGAAATCAAACGTTATTTCGTTACCAATTTGATCGACACTGCTTCGCGGTCCGTCCATTCTCGCGGTTGATCTTGACTGATTTTGACGACCATCAAGGCTGATAGCGTTAAAACACATGAGAAATCTTTGAAGAGAAAAAAATAAAATCTATGAAAACGCTGTACAGTTATTATGTGCTAAAAACTATGTGGTCCGTCCACGCTCGCAGTTTGACCTTTTTTTCAAGTTGATGATCCTCCAGGCTGACAGTTAAATCATACAAGGAATCACTTAATAGGAAAATAAAAAAAAATCAGAACAACAAAACCGACCAGAACTGAGAAACTTGAATAGTTGTTAAAAATTGTCGATCCTAATGAATTCTGGTACGTCCTCATTCGCTGTTTGTCCTGCTTATTTGCGTCCATCGTTCTTGTATGTATCTCAGGGAAAAATTAGAAAAAAAAGGAAAACAAAATCTCAGGAAATGGAACTTGATTCGTCCAATCTCATGTTTCTCCCTTTGATCAAGTTTTAACAATCAGGCTGACAAAGCTAGGATACAGAATAAAAACTCAAAACAAGAATAAAGGCTGGCAAAGTAATATATAGAAGGAATATTTCAATAAAGAAAAATCGGCCAAAACGCAGAACATAGAACACATGATAAAAGCTAATCGACTATGGTCCATTCACTCCAGCTTTTATTCTTTTTATAAGCCTTGATGATCTTAAAATTAGATCATACAATGAATATTTTAAAGGGACCCAGAAAGATTTAGTTTTGGCTGAAAACAGGTGATCTCTGGTCCTTGCATTCTCGCTGTTTCGATCAGGTTCGACGTTCCTCAGGCTGAAAAGTTGAGAGAAAAAACTTCGCGAAAAAGACTGAAAACTCCGCGTTTCGTCCTGTTTATTTGAAATAGGAGGAAAAAACATGAGAAGAAAACAAAATCTGACAAAGTAAGAACTGAAACTCTTAGGCGAAAATCTACCAACAATGAGAATACTGAGTAATTTGCTAAACACTGATTGCTCGATAGTCCGTCCAATCTCGCTATTTTGACCTGTTGAATCAGGTCTGACGACCCTCGAGACTGAAAGGGCTAGCTTATTGAAGGATTCAAAGGTTGAAGATAAAGCTGCCTTTATATCAGGCTTGACGATACTCAAATTAGATCATACAATGTTTTAAGAGAATCTCCTGTTCTGATATGGTTCAACGATCCTCAGGTTTTAAAAAATATAAGAGGATCTCTCAAGAGAAAAATTAAATGAAAACCCAGAAGGTTGCGTATTTGCTAAACGCTGATTGTTATTTGTCCAACCCATCTTCCTATTTTAACCTGTTGTATTAAGTTTGACGATCCTCAAGACTAAAAGGGCTAGCTTATATGAGTTATCTCTCAAAAGAATAAAAAATACCAGAAGAAAAGATGATCTCAGGTCTGTCATTTCTAACATCCTTTTGATACTCTAGACATAGCGTACAATGAAACAATCGAAAGAATGAACAAATGAAAACAAAATCTATGAAAAACCAAATAGAGAGTTTGGCTGAAAATTGGGGATCTCTGATCGGTCCATTCTCGCAGTTTTTTGTTTGTTTTTTATTGTTTTTTTGTTTGTTTTTTATTGTTTTTTTGTTTGTTTTTTGTTTGTTTTTTTTTTTTTTTTTTGGACATGACAACGATCATCAGGCTGATAAAGTTAGAAAAGGATCTCTCAAGAGAGAAGAGAAATCTATGAAATACTATGAAAACTCCGATGAGTAAGTATTTGTTATACTGTCTGATCGACGGTCCGTATATTCTCGCTGTTTTTAACCTGTTGTATCAGGTTTGACGATCCTCGAGACTGAAAGGGTTAGGATATAGAAGGAATTTCTCAAAAGGATAAAAGTTACCAGAAGAAAAGGTGGTGATCTTTTCTGGACAATCCTCAACACCAGACGAAAACAATGAAAATCCCAATCCATGAAAATCCCTGAAAGATATATTTTTGCCTGAAAACTGGTGATCTCGCTGTTTCGAACAGGTTCGTTCCTCAGGCTGAAAAGTTAAGAGCAGAAACTCTTACGCGAAAAGACTGAAAACTCCGTGTTTCGTCCTGTTTATTTGTCATAGGAGGAAAAACACGAGAAGAAAACAAAATCTATTAAAACTCTATGATTTGGTATTTCTGATGCAGCAGGCAAAAAAAAATCCTTCAGACAAACTAGTTTTTTCTCCCTCGGCTAGTCGCGTGTAAAGGTATAATTTTCAAAAACCCAAACAGGTCATTTCTGAATTTCTGAACCAACACCGGGTGAAAATATGACAAGATGTAATTGTTATTGTGAAAAACAAATTTTTTATGTTATTTTTGTTTTATTTTGAAATAAAACGCTCTACATTGTACCATGGCCAAAATATGTCTTGGGTTATATTAAAAATTTGGACGCCGGAAGGCTTCTTACTCGGAATGAAGAATTGCCAAATTAATTTTTTGTTAAACTTTACTAGGCCAATTAAATAATTAAACTACTGAACTGTATCATGTCCGTCCGGTACCTCTCACCCTGCTGGGACAGCGACATAATTTATTTTGCTGTTCCTGTGTAGTGAAGTTTAAAAAAAAAGATGAGAAAGCCGGTAAAATTGTAACTGCTATTTTCAAATGAGGATATGGCTTTTTCCCTTTTTTATGTAACTCCAGTTACAATGGGCGTGAAGTAAGATAGCATTGCGTTCATTTCCTTCATGGAAGGAATGATATTTCCTTCATGGAAGAATCAGCACAAGGTTTTCGATAAAAGGTGTGTAATAAAAATTAATTTGTTGAGAAAAAAGTTTTCTTTCAAATTATTAAGAGTTGTCCGAGATCGAACTACCGGACAGGAACAAGCATGCAAGAAGCCAAGAAAGAGATGGTGTAAAAATCCTGTTTTTAACGGCATAATTAAAATAGAAAAATTCTTGCAATTTTTTTTTTTAATTTTCACAAAAATGATCTTACCTTAAATGAAGAATTTAAAGGGAGAAAACCTCTGACGGTCGGATGAACGGGCAAAAGAAAAACACAAGTTCAACACTGACGTTCCCGAACGGCTCTTGTTGTGCCCGGAAAAGAAAGAAGATACGGTGAAGAGGGGAAAGGAAAAAACTCGGAATGACTCCAGATGACGGATCAGAGGGCGACAGAACGACTGCTGCAACTGGATCTGGAACGTACTGGTCGGATTGTCGGAACGTTGGCCCGGCTGAAACGCAGACGACGCCTGGAAAAGGAACTAGACGTCCTCCCCCCACCGGTCTCAGAAAGGCACGATCTTTGTTGCGCAACTACGTGGAAAGTGGGAGGAATGGAGCTCCATTATCCTTTAATGAAACTAATTTCATTTCATCTTATATCTATTATTTAACATTAATTATTTAACATAATAGTGATTTTATTTGTTGTACATGTCCTCAAAAAGAGAACCTTGTTGTTTAGGGGGTATCAACAGAATAAAAAACAAAATATTAATCATACTCCAAAAAAAGAAGAAGATACAGTTAAAAAATTGTTTGTATTTATTATATTCTACACCATCTATACTGCTGACATACCCACTCATCTAAACACACAACTCACAACCTATGTCATTGCAATCTTATAAACACACTCCAATCCTATCCTAGCAACAGAAACAATCCAATGACATGAACATCATTACCGACTGGTGCAATCAGTGGCAGATCAGGTTAAACTAACAAAAAAGCCAATGAGTTAAATTTACGCTCAAATGTCAAACCTGCCTACCAGTGAACGTTAACAACAAGTGTCCACGAACCAAGTCCGCTACCTTGGGCTTTATTTAGATAGTAGACTTACACAGAATACAAGATTAAAATGGCAAGAACTTAACAAAAGATACAGACACTTAGACACCTAGTGGGACCAAAATCACCACAAAGCATACATAACAAACTAACTGCTTACAAAATACTCATCAAACCTATTTGGGGGGGCGTCAGTGGCCACAACGGTTTGGCGCTCATCACTGTAAGGTGAAGGTCCTGGGTTCGAATCCAGAGGCCCTGCATTCGAACCTGACAAAAAAAAGACCTATTTAGACATATGGAGTCGAACTGTGGGGCTTTGCCAAATCATCCAGTATCCAATGAATTTAATCTAAAGTTCTCCACTGTATCCTCAATGCTCCCTTCTATGTCACCAATCAAACAATTCATAAAGATCTTAAAATGTCTTTCATGAAAATCTTATCCAAACATCTTCTTCAATGTCCACTCTAAACTATCCCTAACTGTAACCCACTAGCCCTAACTCTTTCCTCAATGTCTCACCAAAATCCTCCATGCTGTTTAAAATGACAATGGCTTTGTGACCTATCTTAATCCACCCAACTAAATAAAAAAGATTTCCAGCACTGGTTGGTTTCTCTACCCACTGCCTCCTGGTCTGATAGATCAGTCAGATTTGTATATAACTAAACTAATTCCTCAATATTTTTACAGATAGCAATAAATCAAATAAAAATAAATTATTTTAAAAAATTAGTACATGTATATTGGAATTGTACAGGACTATCAATGCTGTATTGTAAACATGATACAAAAACATGGAAGGATTAACTTATGTTTCAGCCATAATCTCATTAGATGGACTTTCAGGTGAGATCTCTGGTACAAAACACTCATAACTGCCAGATATTATTTTATGTGCACTCTAGCTTGGAAGAAGTTGCTTGGTAACAAAAACTTCTTTAGATCAGAAGCTGATGTCTGGCTGAAGACTAGAATGTGGAACACTACAGTACTCTCAGTACTAATGTATGGTCATGAGACATGGACATTGGACCAAAAAAACAGCACATTAATTGATTACTGTTGGGATCCATCCATTTATATTAGAATTGAACAATCTTATTGCAGAGTTATAAAAAATCATAATTTGCTTATTTGGAAACTGACATAAAATAATCTCAAAATACTTTCTTCTGCAGCTAACACTGGAAATATTGAACTAAGATTTAATGGGAGTATGAGAGGATTTATCATTGTGACAGTTTAATTTGAAATATAATCTATGAAGGAATTTATTTTGAACAGTTTGAAGAAGTTTTATATCAGTGTAGTAGAGCGAATTCGAGATGGTTGAGGAATATTGAAGAATCGGTTGAACAAGTGAATTATATAGATGGACATAGCATGAAGGAGTTTTGAACTGATAGGTACTTTGGATGATGAAGCCAAGCAGTTTAAAGGGGCAATTTTTTATTTCTTGTAAATTTAGCTTAAAGATAAGATCACTACGCTAATTTCTCTAATATAAGATACTCTGGTTCACAAGCTGTATTTATAAGGGTGGAATAACTTATACCATTTATAAGGGTGGAAAATAGGAGATTTAAGAAAAAGTGTTAGTAAAACATTTAGAGTTATTTAAGAATAGTTTGTTAGTTTAACACCAGTCAGAAAGATTATTGAGAACGTTTTGTAAATTGATGCAATCTAAGGCAGAATAAATTTTTGTATATGTTTTTAGGTTGTCAGCAAATAGAAGAAACTCGGTTCCAGATAGAGCAAGGTGAATATCACTAATGAGGAAGAGAAAGAGAAAAGGACCAAGACGGGAGGCTTGTATTACACCTGATAAATAATGCATCAGGGAATGAGTGAAAAATTTGTTCCTTTATATTCAATAAAAAAACTTTTTATGATTTCTGCGGTGGCAAGGAAGTACATAAAATTGGAGTTTACCAAGGATTTCTGAGGAATCTATACAATTATTAATTAATTTGAAAATAAAAACCTTTTCATCTCAACCAAGACCTAACATAAAAAGAATAAATAACTGAAGTAATTAATTAGACCAATAAACATAAATGGATTAATTTGCAATACTGTTGATTTATTTATTACTTCTGTTTCCTCATTAAAACATCAGTTATGCAAAGCAAAATAATTTTATTTAGTTATAAAAAGTTAAAAATTTACTATGTATGTAGTTATAATGCTTCATCATATTATTTTTATATTTTTTTATAATTCCTGCTCGTTATAATTAAACAGACAGGGTATTTAATTAAATCTTTAAGTTGTTTTATTTATCAGGATTTTATTGCCTTTTTCGTTCATGTATAGCATAGTGTTTTATTCTTTATTAATGTTGAGTTAGTTATAAGCATTGTATTGTATTTTTTCCTTAGTTTTCCCTTAAAATAAAATAAAAAAATAAAATTGGAAAAATATATATATTTTTTTAAGAATATTGACTTGTGTCCTTTCTTCTTCTATACAGATGAAATGAGTTGAAATATGAGATGAAAGGCAGACAAAGGTCTAATCCAAGGGCGTACTTGTGGAAATTTGGCAAAAAGAAAATCATTAAAAATTTTAAAAAAATAAATAAAAATATGTTTCTGTGATTAAAATATCAGTTAATTAAAGCATAATAATTTTATTTAGTTAAAAAAAGATAGAAATGTACTATGTATGTAGTTATAATGCTTTATCATATTATTTTTATATTTTTTTATGATTCTTAATCGTTACAATTATACGGACAGGATTTTTCATAAAATCTTTGTGTTGTGTTATTTATAAGAATTTTATTTTCTTTTTGATTGATGCATAGTATAGTGTTTTGTTCTTTAGTTAGCTGAGTTAGTTATAAGCATTTTATTATATTTTTTCTCCTTACTTGTGTATACTTTTTTTTTAAAGAAATTGGTTTTTGATCCCTAAAATAAATAAAAATATAAAGAAAAATAGTATCTTATTTTATAGTCGTTATAATTATACAGACAGGGTGTTTAATTAAATTTTTATGTTGTTTTGTTTTTCAGGATTTTATTACCTTTTTCATTGATGTGTAGCATATTGTTCTATTATTTACTAATGTTCAGTCAATTATAAACATTGAATTGTTTTTTCCCCTTACTTGTGTATACTTTTTTTTAAGAAATTGGTTTTGACCAGTACAAAAAATAACAATTTAAAAAAAAAAGTTTTTTTAGAATATTGACTTGTGATTTTTCTCCTTAACAGACGGACTGAGTTGAAACGTGAGATGAAAGGCGGACAAAGGTCTCATACAAAGGCATATTTGTTGAAATTGGGCAAAAAGAAAATCGCTACAATTTGAAAAATAGATGTTTCCGCTATTAAAACGCCGGTGTCGCCATCTAAAACATGTTAGAGCCAATCTGTTGTTTTGTTTCGTGTTAAAAGTTATAATGGCGGATCTGCTCCGGTAGCGAATAGCAAATAGGGTTGCTTTGTCGTTGTCTCGGCCCATCTCGGTTCTGGCCCATGTGGAGCCCGTTTCACCGTCTCTGAACATTTGATGTCGCCCGTCTTCGCCCCCTTCCGACTCGGTTCAAGTTCCGCTCAGAGCTCTTCTTCGTCGCCGTGAGAAACGAGGCGACGGCACGCGCTTCGGCTTCTCACCGTTTTCAATTTCTCCAATTTCCGTTTCAAACACCCAGCCCTTTTCTCAGTTTTAGGGACCCGTTCCCACTTTTCTGTCAAGTCGTCCACCGTCTCTCGTTCGGTATCTCGACATGGCCGACCTGGACGATTTCTTCGCAAAGAAGGACAGGAAAAAGTCGAAGGGCAAGAAATTCGCGACAGCCGATGAAATTGCGAAAAAACTCGAAGAAACAGGGAAGAGGACGGAAAAGCTGAAAAAGGAAAAACTCCAGACATCCCAGCTCGGCAGTCAGGAGGTCGACGAACAAGGAAACACCGTTCAAGTAATTATCTATTTTTATTACTTATTATTATTAATTAATTAATTTTAAATAGTTTTGTAATTGTTCCTTTACTTTCTATCTAATCTCGTACTCATTCTCGATCCCGACATTTCCGGTCAGTGTCCAAACCCCAATGTCAAACTTTATAGACGGTTTTAACCGAGAGGCGAAATTTTCCATATGGTCCTGATCCACTTTTAAAACTTTATGGCTGTAAAAGCTTCCCTTAAAGAACGCCTTAATATTTAAAAGGGTGAAAATTTGGAAACAAGATTTGTGCTCATGCTAGACAAAACACGCCGCCTTTACAGATTTGTCGGAAGAATTTACAGAACGTAACCTATAAGCGGGGAAGTATTGCTTTCTCTTTATGAATAAAGACGACGATTAATTCATTACAACGTCAATTATGTAAAATATTCTCTCTCTCACATGTCAAAACGTTACCGACCCCCTGACTTTCCTGTTTAACTTTTTCTTTTTTTTAACATAAGAGAATTTAACCCGACATGATTAACCACATTGAACATTTAAATATGGCACATGGAAGTCAAATGTAAATGACTAATTGAGACAAAAATAGAAGTGTTCTCAGAAAAACTATTATTTAAAAAAAAAAAAAAACTGAACTTTTTGAAAAGAAGTGAAAGTCGCTATTCACTTCTAACATTGTTAAAAATCTAATGTTTTCAATGTTCATTTATTTATTTTAAAGGTACAAATAAGGGCTTTAAGGCCCCCTTAAATGTAATTATAAGAGAAATAAATTAAGTTTTATAAACATAATGAAATAATAAAAACAGCAATAATGATAATGAAATATACAAAACAATAGTGACAATAATACATTCTTTAAAATATTAATTATTTATAATCGAATGATGAAACCATATTATGAAAGAAAAGCAGCAAGAGAAAAAAAGGAAACTGAAAAAAGAAAAGGAGATGATTCATGTCGTTTTTACAAGCTCAGACGCCATGGACCTGAAACAAGCGAGCGAGGAAGCAGAGCGTACTTCCCGGAGAGGCAAATTCCTTAGTCTTGAGGTCTTGACCCTGCAACTCTGAAGGAGCTACAGTTTTAGAGGAGTGTTGAAGGCTTGGAATATGGTTGGTGCGTTAGATTAAAGAATGTGGGTCAAAAAGTTGACACATATTGAGGATATTCATTTGATTTAATTTTAAATATGTATACTTAAACTCTAGTTTACAGGCCGTTAACCTACAAGTTTAATTTGTTCCAGGACTGAGCTCATAAGTCAAAATGCTCGTATCTTGAATCAGTTTTCTCAGAATGCTTATTACTTTACAACCTTGACTTTTGTTCCAAAACTGTCTTACATTTTACATTCCTATCCCGGACGAGGGCTCAACACACCTTTAGCAATATGGCAGGACCTTTCCTTTCATTTGTTCATTATTGTGTGTCCTGGATTTAAGGGGAGGATGTCTTTATTTTTAGCTTGTTGAATTTGGTTTTTCAATTATATTAATCTTTCAGTAAATGAGGGATTGCCTTATTTTCCATTAAGGCTGTATTTTTAGTTTTGTATCTACAAATCCCTCAATTCTACCAAATTTACTTGAAAGATACAGTACATGCCCATTAATTTGGAGTAATTCATTTTGTATTTATCAACATTCTAGATCTATCAGTGATCAAAAGATTGTACCTTGATATAGAGAATTTTATTGTGTGCTATTTTTCTTTGTTCAGCTTTTCAAATTTAATAACTTAATCATATTTATTTTTTTAATTTAGGATGAAGATGAATGGAGGGAGTTTGAAGAAGAGAAGAAGGATTATAGCGGACTTAAAATACAGAATCTTACTTTAGCCGAGTATGACAGCATGGACGAAGGCGGTTCTGGAGGTGAAGGTATTTTTTATAGTTTTCCATTCACATATTGATTCTTTAAATTAATTATGGCATTTCCAGGGGAAGATGAGGGTGGAATGGAGGAGAACGAAGCGGGAGAGCTAGTGCCTAAAAAGAAAAATGGACCTTGGAGAGTCGTTCCGAACCCGGCCGCAGGCGATGACGGGAACACAGAAGAATCCACACCGAATCAAGCTCCGCCACCGACTCAAAACACAGGGAGCTACGTTCCACCAGCTTTGAGGAATCTTGCATCAAAACAACAACAAATGCCATTCAGTATGTTAAAAAGGTTAAAACCATATCAGTTTTATTTGAACAATGTATTTTATTAATTTTAGATGCATGGTTACGACGAAAAATAGCTCCCGATGTTAGAAGTGAAGAACTGTTTCCTACTTTATCAGCTGCCAATACTCAGGAATCAGCCGTTTCTTCTTCTTGGGGAAAAAGGTTAGTGTAATTTCAATTTAAATTATTATTTTATTTTATTGAGTTTCATTTGAGTACTTTAAATTATTATTTTTATTAACGATGTGTTTTTTGTTTAACAGAAAAGGCAAAGATGAATTTAGTTCAGGTGCAGGTGGATTTGAAGAAGTGAAAAATTCTAGGTCGCATACAGCTAAGTATGAACCATTTCTCACTGCCCCTGCCAGAGGAGATTCGTTGGCATTGGGCAACAAGTTCGGAGCTCTTGACAGCGAATAGAGCTGATTCCACACCGGCCAGACATAATTTACCAATTGCCTCGGAAAAAAAAATCTTGTTTCTCCCTCATGTAACTTTTTTTCTGGACATTTATACGTATCAAGCAAAAGTTCTTTGGTTCTAGTTATTTTTTATTTTGTAAGAGCAAAAAATTGAGTCTGGTTGAAACGACGATTGTTAAATAAAATCCTCAATTAAAAATGTTTATTTACAAATAAAAGTCCTACATCAATGTAATAGTTTATTGTAGGATTAATTGTGTAATATATGCATTTAAATCATACACGTGTATATATTTTGTTAACGAAATACGATATTCATCAGTATGACTGTTTTTTTTTTCTCTCTCTTATTTATGTGTACTGGATCACATAACTAAAATGAGATAACTGTAGAAGGACACAGTCGAACATTTATTTTCAAATTTGCTATATATTTTATTTTTCTTTCTGTTCAAATGTATTTTGCCCTGTTCTTCATTTTAAAAAGTAATGGGATTTTCAAAATTTTTGTTTGATGAGAATGAATTTATTTTCTATGATCATTAAACGCTCAACATTAAACAAACAACAGCACAAACAGATTGATGTTTCTTAAAGTACTTTTTGAGATTGAGACTTGTTATTCCCTATATATATATTATTATATTTAAATGTGTATAAAATTGGACGACAGAAATAAAGGAGGATGAAAGTTGTTTTTAAAAGAGTACAATTTAATAAAATACATGACATCATCAAGCAGATTTTGATTCAAAAGTTTCAAATTTTTTTTATAAATGAATTTATCTCAAAATTTGTTGATATCCTTCTATTTTTTTTATTTTCAGATCGAAATGTTTTATATAAAAATGTTCTGCTTTTCCCACTTCAATTTTGCAGTTGGCAGTGATAGATAAAATATTTTATTTACTGAAAGCCCATCTGTAATAGTAAACATTTTGTTCACTCTTACCCCAAAGCAGTTATCACCTCTATGATACACAATATTTCATTCCCCAAGTGTCTATTATAGGGATTAGTTTTTATAGGAACCGGCCTCTTTATGACCTTTGCACCGTGACCCATATTGTTTATTGTGTATCTTCATTTTTTTAATGTAGAGCTCCTCATTAAGCTCGAGGCTCTTTACCAGACCCCAAAGCTTTTCAAAGGGCTCCCATGTGTCCTTCAGGCCCTGGATTTGGAAGCTCAGCACTCAGCCTTCAGAGGCCTTTGCACCAACAGAGGACGCGTTCTGCTGTTTCTTCTTGGCAATATCTGCACAGACAAGAAAAAAGTGCAGAAACAGCCACTTTATATATGTCAACGGAGTCTGCAGTGAAAATTTAGCAGTCCAAATATTCTAATACTAAATTTAGTAGTTATGCTGTTAGTTTCTGTGATGGTCCTTTGATTTTTTTTTTTTTTTTTTTTTTTTTTTTTTTTTTTTTTTTTTTTTTTTTTTTTTTTTTTTTTTTTTTTTTTTTTTTTTTTTTTTTTTTTTTTTTTTTTTTTTTTTTTTTTTTTTTTTTTTTTTTTTTTTTTTTTTTTTTTTTTTTTTTTTTTTTTTTTTTTTTTTTTTTTTTTTTTTTTTTTTTTTTTTTTTTTTTTTTTTTTTTTTTTTTTTTTTTTTTTTTTTTTTTTTTTTTTTTTTTTTTTTTTTTTTTTTTTTTTTTTTTTTTTTTTTTTTTTTTTTTTTTTTTTTTTTTTTTTTTTTTTTTTTTTTTTTTTTTTTTTTTTTTTTTTTTTTTTTTTTTTTTTTTTTTTTTTTTTTTTTTTTTTTTTTTTTTTTTTTTTTTTTTTTTTTTTTTTTTTTTTTTTTTTTTTTTTTTTTTTTTTTTTTTTTTNGAGTTGAGGAATCGAAAGAATCAAACTGGGAGTCCGGGAGTTGAGGAATCGAAAGAATCAAAGGAATCGCAGAGTTGATGAGTCGCCAAAAGAATTGAAGAGTTGAAATCCGACACCGGGAGTTGAGGAATCGAAGGAATCAAAAGAATCGAAGAGTTGAAATCCGACTCCGGGAGTTGAAGATTTTCTTAGAAGAATCAAAAAGAGTTGTTACAGGAAAAAGAATCGTCCGGAAACGTATGACGTATCCGTCCCCTCCAGTTACCTGAACTGAACCGCAACTCACTTAAAGGAATCGATTGGGGGATCGATTCTTTTAGATGAGTCGATTCTTTTGCCCATCTCTACAGTATTGGGTATCACAGTCGAGGGATTGTATACATACAATACTTTCTTCATATTATTTACAATTAAAAATACTCCGGCAGAACCACCAGTATGGTTACGACTCAGATACCCTAACTACACAGCTACCGCAGTCTCCTTCCTACGTATTTGTTTTAACATTAGTTTAAAATTATGTTCAGCTGAATTTTCTTAAGACTGCACACCTACTTCACATTCAATTGAAAGAATTGTTTGCCAGGTACTCAGGTTCTTTTGTCATTCTATTTCTTAAACATGTAAAATTTAAGTTTCACTATTGGAGTAGTAATTGATCCTGGCGTTTTTGAAAAAAACAACACTTGTATGTATGTCGGGTTAAAATGCAGGGCCGCTGGATTTGAACCCGAGTCCTTTACCTTACAGTGATGAGCACCGTGTCAACACCTAAAACATTGCAGCCACCAATGCTGCCTCTTCTCTAATGTTTGATTGCAATTAAAAGCTTTCATATTTGTTTTTGTCATGAGTGTTACAATTTATGGCATATTCGTTTTAATAACCAAACGCAAACATGAAATGTGTAGAGATTAGTGACCGTTAATCTATAGTTATTTAGATATCGTGAGATGCGGTCGGGAGTGATGTAGGTTTCAGAAAAACATTTTCTTTATCGTNACAAACACTTTGAGCCCTGAAGATGATCTCAATAAAAGATCGAAACGTTGGCACGATAAAGAAAATGTTTTTCTGAAACCTACATCACTCCCGACCGCATCTCACGATATCTAAATAACTAGCAAACATGAAAGTTTATTTTTGCTGGGTATTACCAATATGTTATTCGATATGATCAATATTTGCACAAAGATTGTCTCTGACTGTCCCCTGCAACGGCTTGACCAAAAAAGTCTTGCGCGAGTGAAACATGCTGATACTCTTTGCAGTGTAAATTTGTTCTGATATTTTAAAGGTAACATAATATTTGATTGGCTTTATTGCTACAACTGTAAGTCTTTATTCTCCTTTTTCCTACATCTAATATGTGCAATATAGCTTTGAATCTTACCTTTTACATGGAATTTTCTGACTTATTTGCAACTAAAATTTGGATAATTGAAGAAACAGTCGACAGTTACCCGTAATGGCCAAAGTTTGGCCGCCAAACTTTCAAAAATTAGTTCAGTGGCATGTCTTCTTGCATACCGACCTCTGTTGGAGCATAGTCGTACACTCTTATCATTTTGCCCGGGAATATGCTGTTACGTTATAATTGTTTGTTTTCCTGATAAACTTTCATTATCTCTCTGGTTCAGTTTACCTTTGTAAGAAAAAATCACAAACGTAGATTTTTTCCGTGTAGTTCCTGCAGTCCAACATGAAATTGAACCTCATTGTAGCTATATGTGAGAGCAGAGGAATTGGAAACAAAGGGAAACTACCATGGAGGCTAAAGTACTAATTACTTTTTTAACATTTCTCGTGCTTTCGCCAATTCCTCGCTGTTTTGGTCTATCGGGCATCCCACCATCTTCAGTACTGAGTATGTCCATGGCATCAAGGATATAATGCAGGGAGAGGCAGTCTGACAGACCAAAACAAGCAAGGAAAAACCGAACTTCAGGTTTGTCACCCAGCAGACCTCATATCTGATATGAAATATGAACTTTTTCTGTAGTGTAAACTCTTTTAAGTTTGTCTTGCTAACTTGAAATTAAATATAAGCGATTAATGTATCTTTACTTCATACTCCAGTGGGCTTCTTAGTCCACCTTACATTGTCATCTACTTAATAGTAAAAATTATATGATTTGTGTCAAGAAAAAGTACATACATATGAAAACAGCTGAAAGTAGTGTGAAACATGTATTGTAAAATGGTTTGATCCCTTGAACATGACTCCCAATGGGTAGTTGGATGTTAAGCTCTCCTGTATGACAGGAATCACTTTATATGTCCAATTATTATAATTTTATTTAAATAATTTTATTCTTGTAAGTGTACGTTCACATTCATATGTTAATTTTTTACTTCATAGGAGTGAAATGGAGTACTTCTCAGAAATAACGACAGCATGCGACAAGCCGGGTAAGATAAATGCTGTTCTCATGGGAAGAAAGACGTGGGATTCAATCCCGAAAAAGTTCAAACCACTGCCACGACGATTGAACGTCATTTTATCACATTCTCTAAAGTACGCAGGAAAAAAAAAGAGGCATATACCTTTTCATTGATCACTTTTTGTCTTTAGGAATGAGGATACTGACAATGTTCTTTATGCACAGAGCTTCCCCCAAGCACTTGAAAAATTGAGCACCATGCGAGAAAAATTAAACAAACTGTGGGTCATTGGTGGCCTTATGATTTATAAAGTACTCTTTTTTTTAAATATAAATAATTTAAATGTATTTTTCACAAATAACTTGTTTCAGGAAGCTTTGGAACATCCAAGTTGCGATAAAGTTTATTTGACTAAGATTTACAAAAATTTTGAATGTGATACATTCCTTCCAGAATTACCTCTACATTTTGATGTTACCAAGTAGGCAAATAAATTATAATAAACCTAGTTTTATATTTTTAATAAATGCTTTTATCGTTTATTTCAGAGACGACGCAGTGCCTCAAGGTATGCAGGAAGAGAATGGAATTCAGTATGAGGTTCTAGTTTATCAAAACCAAAACCAAAATAAAGTATGAAAATTTGTGACTACATGTCTCAGATTTTAATATTTACATACTCTTATCAAATTACTTTGTTGTTCTGATATTTACCTTGATTGCCTCTGTTCATCCTGGTCAACGTTTATCACTGTTGGTTGAATTATTAACAAAATAACTCACAGTCACTGAGAATAAGCATGCCAGGATCATAGGTGATCAAGCTCATAAGCCTCACAAACATCATATTTCACAAATTTTGATATATCAAAATTGTTTTAGCCCAACAAAATTGTTATTTTTGTATGCTTTTTCTGTAAAGAAAAGGGTTCAAAAAGTTTGAGTGAGAAAAAGAACTAACAACTAAAACAAAAAACTTTTGGAATAACATGTAATGGTTAAAGGTACATAGTTTGTAGCTAAATTTCTTCATCGGTTATATTAGTACTATAATGCTTACGACAAAGTGTGATAGTAATAACTTTAACTGTTCAGCATTTGTTTATTTATTTTTTTGTCCTTAAATCCTATAGTCTGGAAAATATCAAAATAAATTTCCAAAAAATATGACGGACCGGTGGTCACTTTTTAAAATTTCTCAATAGCATAAAATAAATTGCAACATACAACATTCAACCACACAAACTCATACATTTTCCTACAGTACCTGCTTAAAATTAATTAATTATTCCCCCCATATTGTTTACAATGTATGCATTTTGTACTAACAGTTTATTTATAAATTAACAAAATAAATACGAATATTGAAATGTCAACAATTCAGGAAAGACAAAACTGTTTTCAAGAACAAATCAGTCTATGAGAAAAACAATCTTAACACCTTTGGCTATTAATTTAAAAATTGTAATTGTTTTGAGGTGGCTAAAAATTCATTCTAATAAATTGAGAAAACATTTTCTTAATTATAAATTCATTGCATATGGTGTCTTATAAAATAAAGTCTCAAAACAGTATGTAAAAACACCAAGTATTTTTCTGTGCTTAGAGTAAATTTTTAGAATTTTTTCATGTGTTTAGAATAGAATGTTATATTTAAAATTAATAATAAAGTGTGTGCACTAACCCAGTGTTAAAATTACAAAAATCCAACCCACCAATATTTTGCCTTTTCGTATATGCAGCAATAATGTGAGCATTAAAACATATACCATGTAGATACTGTAATTTTGCCTTTGGTCCCTCAAAGATACCCTTTATTCCATAGAGAGAGAAAAAGCATTTTACACGTAACATTAATATTAAATTTTGAGCAATTCTTCGGCCATTTATTATTTCAATTTATCCAATAGACAAATAAAAAATTTCAAAAAGTAATTATTTTACTCCTCTCACACAAATAACCGAGGATTTACCCAATTAAAATGAAATATGTACTGAGAAGCAATTAACAGTTTTATATATATTAAATAGATCTACGATGGCCTACCTGGAAAAAGGTTTACATTTTCAATGAGTACTGGACTAAGTACAAGGACTTTCTGTTTGATTAGAATTTGAAAACATAGCCAATGTGAACGGTGACCCTCACATACGTGATATCCAGCATCATATAGCAATTAATTATACTTTTAAGTCTAGAACGGATTTTCGCAGATAATGCTTACTGGTTCATTTTTAAGATTTATTATAATATAACATTTTTGTTAGAATATCAAAAGAATTCCCTTCCTCGATTTGGACCAATGAGTGTTTGTTTGATGCCAACAATTTTATAAATGAACTACATAGTGATATGAAAAGTGAACAAAGTCTACACACAAAGTTTTTTTTCTCCCAAGAGTAGCCCTATTCTTCAGATTTAATAGTAATACAATTCTATCACCATAAAATCATTTTTGCACACAATATGGCACATCTAAGTTGATTAGTACAGAAATATTTTAGTAAACAAGCTCAGTATCCAAGACTACCAAAAGAATACACAGAACATTTAAACAGAGAAATTAAACCACTCGACACACTACAAGTGAAAATATCAATGTTCAAAATGTTATATATAACTCAAATATCACATTGTGATAACAGGCTAACAAGTATCTAAAAATATCACATATAGTTTTACAAATTAACATTATAAAATAACTTATAGATAATATCATTAAAAAAAAGAAACATAGTTATAATTATATGCTTATTTTGTCATTCATAAGGAGAAATTAATAATTGCATAGTTTTTAAAACGGCTTGAAGGGTTTAATCAATTCTAGAGTACATCAGAATTTAGTTGTTGAGTGACTTCCCTAGCCAAGTCGTTAAAAGTGTCTTCACAGTCAAGATTGAGACCATCATCAAAAAGGTTAATTGTGCCTTCAAATAAAGGAGGGGGTTGTGTCACTGGAATATGATTCATGTCAAAATTTGATTCTATGTTTGAAATAGTTTGTACCGGTGTACAAGGATATGATTTTGAATTAGTCATAAACCCGCTTATAATCGGATCGGAGGTTTTTGAACAAGTTGGTGTGTTAGGATATGATCTTGATAATTTGGGATCGATATTATTGATTATGTTTAAAATAGAATTTAAATTATCTGTACCAACTTGATCAACAAGGAGCGAACTTGACGACTCGTCGATGCCTAACAGATTAGAAGAATCTGTGTCTAAATCGGTAAAGTCGGTGACATCACTGGGCACAGGTGTGATGTGCGGTAGATCAGCTAACGTTGGAACACTCTGTGATCTTACAGTTTCGTTGAACTGGTTCATGTTCGAATAAACAGGTTGAATTTGTTGTTGCGGCACTGGTGGTGGGAGTAGTTGAGCCGCTTCTTTTCTAGAACCTTTATACAAAGGCGAACTTACTGAATTAGACCTCTGCACCATTTTATGTGGAGAGGAGAAAGTTTTAGATGTTGGAGGGGCAAAGGGAGAACTAGATATCGGTGAGATAGGTACGAAGCTAAACTTTTTCTGTGAATTTGGGCTTTCAGGTACAGTCTCAAAAGAGACCCTTCTTCTGGCACATTTGTCTTCTTTATTCCTTTCCAGCAACATCCTCAGTTGAGACACTTTTGGTTCTTCCTCTGAAGACTTTCTAAAGTAATTCATAAGTTCTTCTTCTTGCTCCAGTGAATTACCGCTTTCCAAAAATTCCGTTTCCCTCCCATTTGCCGGCTTTGGCTGCAAAGGTTTCTGCTTCTTTACTGACTGTGAAGATGCATTGTCCACAACCTTTGGGATTTTAGGGAGTCTCGGAATCGGAAGTTTGACACCTGATGGTCCTGATTCATTATTTTCTTCCAATCTCGGTTTCTTCCCACCCGCTCCTTTCTTTCCTACCGACAAAGGAATTGTGGATCCTTTCCTACCTTTACATCTTTCAGGAGGTGTTTTTGTTGAGCGATTCACTAACTCATCCTAACAAATACAATTAATAGTAAATAATTAAATAATAAAACAAAAGCAATGCAATGACTTACATCCTGCTTCCTTCTATCAGTCTGCAAACATTTATCTTCATTTGGTCGACAAATTTTTGAACTCATCATGAATGTGAGCTCTAAAACCATAATAAAAATTAATACAAGGGTAAATGTATTACCCTTATTATAAATACTTACCACTAGAAACTGGGCAATTTAAATCGTTTGACCCTTCCGAAGAAGCGCTAGAAGTCAACGTTTCCTTGCAAATACTCTGTGCTAATTCAGGTGAGAACTTCCCCTAAAATTAGTTTAACAATTAATAATCCAAATAGTAATTTTAATATCAGATAAATTACTGTTATTTTTGGGAGCTGGGGTGATGGCAGTGATAGTCTGTTTGTCATTCCTGAATAACAGTATCTTGAATTGCCACGGGTTCCAAGCCTTCTAGGCCTAACACTTGGGTAAACCTGTTTCATCACTTTTCCAAAGTCAGCAGTGGATAAATGTTTGACTTTGCTAGCATTACAGAATTCCCTGTTAACAAAACGCAACGATGTGATTATGTTTTCGCTCTTATAAAAAACACTAGTGACAAATAGCTTACAAGTATTCATTATAAACATCCTGTTTAGGAAGTGATGTGTGCTTGTCTTCTTTTAGGTGGGTTTTAATCCAAGCTATCGTTTGGCTAATCTCTGGCCTACTTCCTAATGGATTTGATGGCCTGGAGAAAAAATATTTAAAAAATCCTTCAAAATTGACTGTAAACCACAGGTAAATATCTTACTGTTTAAGAGGATCGGGATATTCCTTCCCAGTTGGGAGCTTCAGGTATAGAAGTAGCTTTTCTAAAGGTGATAATTTTGATATCTGTTCCAAAATTAATTCAACATTTCTCTTTGACTCTTGCCTGTAATTTAAAAAAAAAAATTATATATTTNTATATATATATAATTTTTATGTATGTGTGGGTATGTATAATTCACTTGTGCTAAAAGGTAGAATGACATTTTTTTTAAAGAAACACTGTTTACCTAACTATATATATTTAATATTTTAACCAATATTTTAAAAGTTTAATTTTAAGTTTTGTTTGCCTTGTGCAACTGGACATCAGCCACAGTTTTAAGTTAACATGACCAGAGCTTTAATTTACAAGAAATGGAAAGACAAGTCCAAATCTACACTGTTACATAAGTCTTACATTATATGTTTAGTCTAAGATTTGATTTCACTGAATGTTTATCACAAATTTTTGTACTGTATTAATGTCCTTTTGCTTCATAAATATTTATGTTGCTTGTAGAAACAAGAAAATAAGAGGTGAAATTATATTGGGGCAGTGGCTTTTATAGCTGATTGAGCAGAAATCCCTGAGGTTCCGCATGAGTTGAAATGTAAAAATCATTCTTTAGTCATAAACTCTATTAATAATTGATTCATACACACTTTTGGGCCAAATTCCACATAAGTGTCCAGCATAGATGTGTCACACCTAATTGAAGGGCGCAACTCCTTGGCTCCATATAGAGAGCGTGTAGGGATACCACCCGATATGAAAATTGTGCTCTTGAGCACAGCAACAAGTATCTGGGTCCCCTGTTCCAATTCTTGGAATGAACAGGGTTGTTTTATTGTATATAGTAATGAGTTTTTTTTGCCGAGTTTCAACCTTTATTCGGGTCACCATCAGGGCATAAAGTATGGTGCTATTCTTGAAATGTCATAATGGTTTTGTGGAAAATAGTTGTGAGTATTGATATTGTTGCGTACCCTGGTGTGTGTTGAGAGTGCACGTACATATCAGTGTGAATTTGTAGTGAGAGGGTCAATGGTAGAATATTGAGTACCTCAACAACCTCAATTAGGTCAGTTATACGGGGTGTCCCAGTTCCTTCTGACGAAACTCAGGGAATTGATTCTACTCTTCGTTTGGAGCAAAAAATGCCCAGGAGAAAATTTTCGGAAAGTTCTTTATTTTGAAGATATTCGTCAATTTAGGTTTTTTCAACTTTTCACTACCTTACCACATAAAAACGCTTACAACTTCCAAAATGTTGAGACTAAAACAAATCTAATTACACCATTTGAAAGAACGCTAAATTTGCTGTAAGATACTTCTATTTGCAATACTCTGAATGACATAAAATGTTAGCCAATATCAGTTGGAACATGTCAAAATTACAAAATTTAAAATTGTGGTCATGATTGCACGTTCTACTGAGGTTACAAAAAAATACCTACAACTTGTCAAATTTCACAAAAACTTCTTCATCTAATATGCTTTACGTTGATATATCCAGGTTTTTAAATAACGTTCTAGTAGAGTTGAAAAATAACAATTGAATGTTCAAAAATGTGAGCTAAGGTAAATTTGAAGGGGGGGTAGAAATAAATCAATTAGAACTCACTTTGTAAAATAAAAATGACACTTGTTTGACCGGTTAAATGAAAAATGCTGGATGGGATCGAAGTTTAAACAATAATCATCACAGAATGTATCAGGTAGGGTGTGTTACCGAAACATGATTTTGTTTGCACAAGTATTTCTTAAAAATTATGAACCTCGGCCCTCGCTCTTATCAAACTGCAACAGAACGCTACTCTTCCGTCAGTCGAATTGAATGTGTTATATGGAGGTAGAAGTTATGCCGCATTACTATTCAAATCAAGAGTACTGAGATATGATGCTGGTGTATGGGTACTGTAACTGCAGAAGTACTGCGGCAGTGGTGGAGTACGCTCGTCGTTTTCCTAGCCATCGAGTTCCTAGTAAAAACACTGTTGTGTCGACTTGCCAAATACTATGGGAGACGGGTGCCGTTCCAAGTAGAAATTTCAGCAGTGGACAACATATTAGAAATATCCGGCAGGAAGATGAAATTATTCAAACATTTGCGGAGGATCATCGACACAAGCACAAGGAGAGCAGCTCTTCAATTAACATTCCCCACAGTACGGTGCATAGGACCATACCATGACACCCCTTTACAATTGCTGCTTGAACGAGATTGGGAACCTCGCATTCAATTCTGCCAGTTGTACCTCCAACTTCACAGAGATCCACAATTCGGGAGTAAAATTTTATGGACAGATGAATCTACGTTCACACGGGATGGAGTTTTCAACTACCACAATTTGCACACTTGGAGCCACGTTAATCCTCACGGTGTGAGACAATCTGACTTTCAATACCAATTCAAAGTCAACGTGTGGGCTGGAATATTAGGTGACAATCTTCTTCAACCCATTGTGATTCCCGACCGTTTTAATTCAAATGCATTTCTTCACCTCCTTCAACATGACCTACCTACTGCATTGGAAAATGTTAATTTGGCGCAAAGAATGAATTCATGGTTCCAGATGGATGGCTGTCCTGCTCACAGTAACAATGCTGTGACACATTGGATGATACAAAATTATGAGGAAAAATGGATTGGCAGGGCTCCAAGGAGCCCAGACTTAACACCGTTAGATTTCTATCTGTGGGGAACTTTGAAGGTTAAAGTCTATTCGTGTCAATAGAAAACAGAAATCAGCTGGAGCTGCGGATAATAGAAGCTTGTGACAGTGTTAGAGGAAGTAACCAACCAATTGCGAGGGCTGTAAGTTCAGTTCGTCCAAGAAGTCAGTTATGCATTCGAGAAGAGGGAAAACACTTTGAGCATTTCATCTGAAAAGTTCCTCCTTTGTTGTTAGGTGCTTGCTACAAGAAGAACCATTGCATTTTATTGTATGAAGCTTTCTGGTATGGTTTTTGTGAGATTACAGATGTAATTTTTATTTTACAAAGCGAGTTCTAATTGATTTATTTCTACCCCCCCCCCCTTCAAATTTATCTTAGCTCACGTTTTCGAACATTCAATTGTTATTTTTCAACTCTACTAGAACGTTATTTAAAAACCTGGATATATATATCAACGTAAAGCATATTAGATGAAGAAGTTTTTGTGAAATTTGACAAGTTGTAGGTATTTTTTTGTAACCTCAGTAGAACGTGCAATCATGACCAAAATTTTAAATTTTGTAATTTTGACATGTTCCAACTGATATTGGCTAACATTTTATGTCATTCAGATTATTGCAAATAGAAGTATCTTACAGCAAATTTAGCGTTCTTTCAAATGGTGTAATTGGATTTGTTTTAGTCTCAACATTTTGGAAGTTGTAAACGTTTTTATGTGGTGAGGTAATGAAAAGTTGAAAAAACCTAAATTGACAAATATCTTCAAAATAGAGAACTTTCCGAAAATTTTCTCCTGAGCATTTTTTGCTCCAAACGAAGAGGGAATCGATTCCCTGAGTTTCGTCAGAAGGAACTGGGACACCCTGTATAATAGGTGAAAATGATTATGGAGGAATATCGACTACTCCACCACCCTGAGTGAATAAAAAAAATGTATTTAAGAGTGAGAGAGAATATGAATGAGTTTGGATTTAGGAAGATTGCAGTAGGGCTGTAAGGACCTAGCTGTTGGTATTCGGCCAGACGAATAAGGCTGAGGTCTGACACCTGTGGGTAGGTGATACTCGAGGCTTACCAGTAATTTATTATAAATTACTAAAGTTGAAATTGCCAGGGAACTACGAGAACTAATAGGCTTAACTCTGTACTTATATGTTATGTTTATGTATGTATACATATGTATGTGTGCAGATTTGAGCTTATATAAATCATTAATCTATTAATAGTAATAACAATACACAAATTTGATGGTAATTCTATTCTGAAAAACAAGAAGTTCTAGTACATTAAGTATCTACTTACTTCTAAAGCTCACAACAAAATAAATAAATCTCGGAAGAGGAAAAATGCTCCTGGATGAAATCCCAGGTCATCAAAAACTGAAGGAAATTAATTAGGCAACTGATTCGGGGAAAAAACTGCAGTATTCACACCTATCAGACAAGAACTACAATCAAGCACAATGCTGAGTCTGCTGAACATGGAACAACATAAATAAGTAGAAAAACAGAACCACAACATGACCAAGGATGTCAAGTATCTTTCCCTCAACTGGAATTGAGAAAAAACTACTGTGCAATCCTTGCCTTTTAAACTACTCAGTGAGTTTAAAGGTGAGTCAAAACCATGCTGACAGATTAGAACAGACACATTAGAAAATTTACTACATAAAGGATTTTTCTATTCAGGGGATCCTTCCTTTTTCAGAACAGTTACCAACATGGAAGATTCACTTTAAGTGTATCTAAACTTTACTTAGAGGACAACATCCTAAATAACTAAATAAAGGACAAGGACACCATTGTCTCATCTTAAAGTCAATCGTCCTACATTCTTAAATGGTACAGAAAACTGAGTAGGAGACAGCAGATAAGTTTTTTTAGGTAGGATAAATAATGTGTGAATTTTAACTTGATTTTAATTATGATTAAAATTTTATTTAATTATTTAATTAATTAAAATTAAAATTAATGAATTGGAGAGTTTTTGTGATTTTGTTAACTTCTCCCCTTGCATCCAATCTTATAATCTTTCAAATTTTGTTTTCATTCAATTTTTTCATGTAACATGGCTCCGACCTGCCCAAGACGGAAAAGGAAAGAAAATAAGTGCTTGATTTGTACGAAACATCTGGGAGACCTGGTGTAAAAACATTAGTTGATAGATAATTAAAGCTTAGAGCAAAATGTAAGTAGGAAAAATTTTAAAAGATGGTAAAGTCAAATGTGCTTATAAATGTACATATCTGAACACATACACAGACGGTTATGTCAGATGATAAATATCTATCTTTAAAGGACACCTTCTGAAAGAGGCCAAAAATAGTTACATAACTGTAAAGAAATATTACATACAAAATGAAGCAAAGAAATTATTGTCTTACAGAAGTCCAACTACACACTAGGTGTACTATTCTCAATTAAATTTCAAAGTCTGTGCCAGGATTCGAACCGAGAACCGCTAGCATGGCAAATAATTCAGAATATCACCTGTAAAAAAAATGGTTAAAATTGAGAGCGTAATGTGCTGGCTTTGACATGAAGCAGATTTTGGTTTTTTGAAGTTGTTAAAAATTTTAAATTATGGTAAAGTCATGAGCAAATGTGATTCTAAATCAACATATCTGTACATATAAATACAGTTATGTGTTATCTGATGATAATTATCTTTTTTTAGAGGACACCTACTGAAATAGGACAAAAGTAGTTACCATGAAATAAATGTCACATACAAAATGAAGCAACGTAATTCCCATCTTACAGGAGGGCTTAACAAAGCACTACACATTTGGTGTTCCGGACAACGGTCAAGCCACTTCAAAAAGTTCTTTCATACTATTCTCAATTAAATTTCATGGTATGTGCCGCAATTTGAACCCAGAACATTAGCATGGCAAACATATCACCCACATCAGAATATCACCTAAAATTAAGGCAGTAATTTACTGGCTTTGACAAGATGCAATTTTTTGTTTGTACCAGCAGAATCAGAGATGTTAGATCTTTTGTACTAAGAAGCATTAGCTGGGATGTTCAGAAATCCATTGACAATACTAAAAGAAATTAACAAGGAAAATGTGCTGAAATTCCTAAAAATGTACTAGTCAAGGATGCTGTTTAATCATTTAAAACTCCAGACCTCAAAAAAGTCAGGCGTAAATCCATCAACCAGACAGGATAAACAATTGATTTGGGTACAATTGATGAAAAGATCTAAATAAAAACCTCAGAACTCAAAAACGTCAGGTGTAAATCCATCAACCAGATAGGATAAACAGTTGATTGGTTACAATTGATGGGAAGATCTAAATGAAACAATACATGTCAATACATTTCAGATAATAAATTTGAGAATTAATGTAAAATGTTTCTGTATCTTTAACTTCTTTGTTAAATACCAATTTTTTTTTATTTCCATCTTGGGATAATTTTTTTATATATATNTTTTTAAATTGTGTTTAACTTGTTTCCTTTTAAGTTTGGATTGTGTAGTGTACAAGCTGAATGAAGCCTTGTCATTGCAAGATTTATTTTTGGTCACCTCTTGGAATGCCTACTCATGCTGTTTGTTGTCTTTTAAACTTTGAAGATGAAGTGAAGACACCATTTAGGATCTTCATCTCTGCAAAAACACTTTGCTCAATAATATGCAGTGTTTATTTTGTTTAAAAATCAGTAATTGTGACCATTTTTACAGTGAACGTTCTTGAAAAAAGAGATGTGTTTCTTATATCTTACAAGGCTTTTAGAATGAAACAAAGATTTTTTCTTTTTAACTGCATAGCCTCATTTTATTGTTATAAGGCTGGGGTTACAAGTTTAACTGGTCATTTATAATCAAATGCTGGAAAACACGCAGACAATCGGACTTGATTTGTCAATGTCAAGATCGTGACCTCCAAACGTGTTTGGAGTTAAAATTCCACAAAAATTCCCCGAGCCTTTTTTTAGCAGTAACGTTAGAGAATAACTGTGGGTCTGCCTTACTGCAAAGATCTGTTGACGAGGCCGGCCAACTGATCGGAACTGGAAAAGACGGTCTGTTGGATTTCCTCCTTGACAGGGAACATCTGCCTGAGGTCAAGGAAGGCCGGGTTGCAGGCCTCGATCTTCACCTTGATGTCGGCCGACCCGCTTTCTGCAGAGTCCCCGCCTTCGGCAAAGCACTGATACTGCATTCTACGAGTCAGAAGGTCCGTGAATACAAGCCAAGACGAAAGATCGGGTATAAGCGTCGTAAGTTTAAGCCCTTTTCACTGGCAAGTAGCATTCCCGGGTCATCCAGCCGTCGAATGGACCTTCCCTCCGAGAAGCGAGATGGCCCGAGTCCCGCGAAATCCTCTTCCACCGAATAACTCGGCCGAAATCCTCTCGACCATCGACCAGACAGTCGGCTGTGGACAGAGGACCCCCGAACCACATTAACTACAGCTGATCCAGCTGATCTGCCAATCCTGCAAAGCATCAATAACGACATATCGACAACAACATCGATGATAATAAAAAGTACACAATATCTTCAGTTCAACTCAAATTAACAAAGAAAAAATAAAATCTTAAACTTATAAATGAGATCTGCCACTAAAAAACATTTAAATTAGCAAATTATAAAGAAAATAATTTAACTCTAAAGAATAGGGACTACCGATTGATAACGCTCGAACAATTTAAAGGATCGATTTTTGTTTCATTAAAACCCGCAATTTAAATTTGTGACAAACTTGAAGAAAAATGTTAATGTTAGACATGCAAGTTTGTCAAAATGTTTGACGGTCTTTGTATACCATGATTAATGGTAAATATTAAATATCACACTTTTTTCACACTAACTGAAATTTATTTCATTTTACAAAAAAACAGCTTTGTTGAATTAAGCATTAGATGATGTTTAAGATCAAAGTAGATAATCCAGGTGCAATATAAGTTGAGTGAAGACCCAAATTAAATTACAATGGTATACATTGGCTCGTTGTCAAATTAATGTTGGTTTTGCTTAGTGAAAAGCTCTGTTCGGCTAAAACATGATATACATGTGTTGAGTATGCATTCATTTGTGTAGACCCAGTATAAAAAAGCTTCCAAACTTTCAGTGAAATAGAAGCAAACCTTTTAAATGAAAATAATAAGGGATTAAATTGATTATCAATACGTCTTGCAACTATAAACTTATTCAATACAATGTTGTTTTTTTTTAGTCGATCTGAAAAACCTGAAAAATCTTCTTAGTAATGTGGTATGTATTTAGAACATCGAAGTAAACATATTTGTCCATCATTCCATCAATTATAATTTGCCAACTCCTTTATAGCCTATGCAGCACCAAACAGGCACCCCATTCGCCCCCAATTTTAACTGTTGATAGAGTATTCTTGAATTTAAAGAATACTCTTGCTTCCACCACATTATTTCTTTCATTGGACCCCAGTACATTAAATTTGATCTCATTGGTGAAAATAACAGTCTCTAAAAATGAATCAGGCTTACTTAAATGCTCTTTAGCAAACTGAAAGTGCTTTCCTCTTGCTTATTTCTTATTGCTTATTTTGTAGGACTTATTTGTGGGAGTACATGTAGAGATGTAGATGTAGATGTAATTTTTCAGGTATGGCTTTAAGAGCTATTGTATCATCCCCCATTCTCAGTCTAAAGCACATCGGTGAGTCCTATTTCACCAAGAAATTTGATTAATAGGCCCAGTTTCAGTGGTTGAAGCTCTTCTATGGTCACATTATACATCCCAAAGCATTTCCTCCTGCGGGCAAATGTAGCTCCGCAGTTTGTTAGAAAATGTGTTGGTGTCTCTTCTGCCTCCTTGCAGAATCTGCATGTGCCATCTTGGATTGTTCCAATTTTCTTTAAATGACCATTTAATCTGCAGTGTCCTGTTAGGATTTGCAGTCTGTTCCTGCTTCCTTTGACACATTTTGTGATTTCTTTCTTACCAAAATTGGTTAGAAGATTCTTGGATTGTCTATGTCCAATGAGTGAATTCCATTGTTCCTTCATTTTCTTTTTGTCCTTCTGTCTGAGATATTCATTAATACTGTGGATTCCTATGCCACAGAAGGGTACGGGTCGTATCAGCGGTGTAGCAGCCCCTTTTCTTGCAAGGGTGTCCACTTTCTCGTTGCCTTCTACTCCCATGTGTCCTGAGACCCAGCAGAGGCTGACTATTCTGCATACCTAATATGTTTAATTTGGTTTTGCAGTTCAGCACCATCCTTGAACTAATGGTACTTGAGCTTAGTGATTTGATGGCTGCTTGGCTATGTGACATGATTGCTATATTCTTGTTTTTGTACCCTTTACTTAGATTGAATTGGGTACATCTTTCAATTGCATGAATCTCAGCTTGGAAGATACTGGTGTGTTTTCCCATGGGTTCTGAGTATTTGGTTCCGGGTCCAAATACTCCTGCCCCCGTACCTTCTTGTGTTCTAGATCCATATGTGTACCAGAGGATGGTGCCATTTTTAAAGGAGTTATTTCCCTTTCTTTCCCATTCTTTTTTGGTACCCAGATATATTCAGAATTTTTGGTTAAATTCAAACCGTGTCGTCTCTTGGAGCCATGAGTGACGGATGGTCTTTCCATAGTTTGTTGCTATCTCTTCATTTCAGTTTTATTCCTGTTGGAGGTTTCTCTTTGATAAAGTTGATGATGGTTTTCTGTGCTGTCCTTTCTACCAAATGATGTAAAGGGATTAGTCCTAGTATTTTTTCCATGCTAATTGTAGGACATGTTCTCATTGTTCCCGTTATGCAGATGCATACAAGTCTGTATTTTTGTGAGTTCTTTCTTTTTGGTTATTTGTTATACTTTATACCAGTGCTGTCGTTCTTATATAGCTGTCTAACAGCTTTTCAAGGATCTTTAATAGAAAGGATGATTGGTCTGTAGGATTTAGGTGATGTAGGGTCTCTTTCCTCCACTTTTGGTATAAAAACCACCCTTGCCCCACGCCATGTCTGTGGTATGTAACTTAGTGCTCAACTACTTCTATATAATCGCAGCAATGTTGGAGTAATTATATCCATTCCTTTTTGTAGCAGGATGGGAAAAATCCCATCCGTTCTTGGTGCTTTGTACGGGCTGAAAGTGTTAATCACTCAGAGGATTTTCTTCTCTGTGATTATTTCAGCTGCTTTCTTCCAATTTTCTTTATGGGGATTATCTGCTCTCACATTTTCTGGGGAGATGTCGTAGTTACTACCTGGAAAATGTGTACTTAGAAGGAGCATTACTTTTTGTCTTCTGTGTACTTGCCTTCTGCACTTCTTAAGGCAGTGTTTATGTCTAGTGCCTTGTGCAGTCTAGCTGCTGTGGATACTGTGGAGATTTCTCCTCAGAATTTGTGAAAGTTCTCTCTTTTCGCCCTGCGGATGGCATGGTTATATGAAGTAAGTAACGTAAAATAAATTCTTCCCAGTTACTTTTTTGTCTAGCCTTGTTAAACGCTTTCCTGATTTCTTTCCTTAATTTGCCCAGTTCTGCATTCCACCAAGGTGGTTCTTGTCTACTTTTTGGTACCTTAACAGGGCAGCTTGATTCATATGCATCAATTATATTCCCTGTAAGTTCGCTAACTGAAAGTTCCAATTCATTGCAGGTCTTCAGCACTCTCTTCACTGTTGCATGGTTTAAACTATGTGTTACCATCTCAGTGAACCTTGCCCAATTTGTGTTTCGGGGGTTTCTGAACGGTGTAGGGTCTGTCCTATCTGATTCGATGTCGAACCTTATTATTCTGTGGTCCGACATCGACTCTTCACTTGAAACCCTCCAATTTTTTATCACTTTATGTAGGGCTTGATCCTATATTAAGTATATCTAATTTTTCCTTCACCAAAAATTCTATGAGTGCCTCACCTCTTTTGTTGTTGTTGGTACTTCCCCAAATTTGATGATGTGCATTGGCATCACATCCCACCAGCAAGGGGCGATTCTTCTTGCTGCAGTAGCTGGCTAGCCTTCGTAGCTCATCAGGGGGAGGGTGGTCCTGTTCTCCTGGGAAGTATGCCGATGCTACTACTGCTTCTTGTCTCTTCCCATCGATTGGTATCTCTACCTTGATGGGAACTAAGTCTCCAGTCATGAATTCTGAAAGACAGAAATAATTAGTGTTTTTCCTAATCAGTATACATGCACAGGGATTTTCCTGTCTGTAATCCCATACAGTCTTACCGTCTTTGCAGGACAAACCTCTAATTTGTCCTTTCCACTGCCAGGGTTCCTGGATGAGAATTGTCCATAGATGTTGCGCAGTGAACATCCTAGCTATTACTGCCGAGGCAGCCTTAGCGTGGTGGATGTTCACCTGGGCCATTCTCATTTCCTCCATGTAGGGTTATTCTTTTGGGGGAGGAGGAGGTGTCTCCTCTCCCAATAGCTCCTCCTCAGTGAGCACTCTTGGCTCCATCTGTAGAGGAGGAGGGGTCTGGGTCTCCAGGATGACCTGGTCAACCTCCATCTCAGCAGTATTTTCGGAGGTAATCTCCGTGGGTGGAGGCGTCGCTGTAGGGGCCTGCTCCGTTTTAATGGATGGGGGGTGATTGGGGTGGAGATGTGAGATTTCTCTCATTTTGTAGCCTCCTCCCCCTCCATTTTTCAGGCCCCTCACAGGGATCCTCCCAAAACAAAAATTGAGGGTATGTCCTCTTGAAATTATCGTTTCTGCCGAGATATCGCTGATGCCCAGGATCATGACAATCCCAGGCCCCTCCACTTTCATTGAGTGAACTTTCCACTCCTCAGCGCAGATCCCATCGTTCTGCGCTTTGACCAGTGCTAGGGTTCTTTGTTCTTCTCCTGTTTTTTTTGTCCTAGGGAGGAACACCACTATCGAGTGAGGTTTGGTAACATCCTCCCCTACCCTCACTGTCAGTTTCTTTTGTTCACTTAGCACCAGTTTAGGGGCTATTTCCTGCAGCCATTGTACAGTTTTGCCATCTTGAATACAGTCTATGATCATCATACCCGGCCTGAAGTGTATGCCTTCAAACTGTATTTTGGCTTCCCATCCTTTTAAGATTTCTTCAATGAGGGTTTCCTCCAGATGGGTCAGCTCTTCTGTTCTTAGGGTTACCAGAGGGTATTCCTCCGGTAGCAAAGCCACTCTTATGATCTTTGCTGCTCCGGCGTAGCTTACGCTTGGAGCAGCCTCCCTGGCTCTAAACTGCGCCTGGGATGGCTTTGCTTTCTTGTCTTTTCTTAGTTCCTTGGGGGTAAGAGATTGCTCTCTTGCCCTCTTGCTGGATGATTGTACCTCTAGTTTCTCTTTTTGGATTTTAGCCTTCCTTTCGTCGGCCAATCTCCTTGCTTCTTCGGGTGTTTTCCCCGATTTTATTCCTCTCAGGTACCATTTGGTCATAGCACCGCTAAGACCTTTCCTGCCTGGTTCTCCTAGCTTTGGCATTTCGGCGAAAACTTTTTTCTTTCCTTTTGGTTTCCCAAGAGGGGGGTCTATATTTTCTAGTGTCGCTACTTGAAGGTGTTGAACCCTTCGTTTATGTGGTGTTGAATTACCCACGTAGCGGCTGGTGTTTGTCTTTAGGAGGGAAAGGTGGTCTCTCCTTTGTTTCCAAGGACTGAGTGTCCATCTGGGGGTTGATGTATTTGGAGCAGTGAGATCCTGCTCTAGGTTTAGTTTTTTGTTTACTGTACTCATTTGATTCCCACGAGTAGCTAGGGAACTATAAGGTCTGCTCCATCAGAGCCCTGCATGATGGAGTAAGGCTAATTACTCTCTGATGTCGCCCAGTGTCAGAGAGGCTCTGTTCAAGACAGCCACATTAATCCGGCTGCCAGTGAATCACTCGGCACGGAACGCATGACACCTTTGATTGCGGCGGATGCTGTTTTCTGTCAAGCCCAAGACTATTGTTAGGGGGGTGATAGGATGGTGGGAGAGGGGTTGGTGGTAGGATTTTGTTTAGTGAGGAGTGGTTGGGAAAGCAAGTACCTCACTTAGGGATAGGACACCAGAGCTTCTTTAGCCTTTTCGACCGTACCATGCCATGGGGATCAATATGAATCCCCTTGTCAGGACGGTAACAAACGTTTCCCAAGGTTCACTACTTGGAAGTGGGGTTGGTCTTTGAACCCCTACATGCATGCCTTGTATTTTAATAGTGCTTCATATTGTTTGGGGCATAACTGAAATATAATCCTGATACAGAATACCTGAAATTTCGGGGGCACCTGTCGATGGGTTGGTGGTCACTTCTTTGAGAACCTCATGCCTTGTGGATGGTGTTTAATTTTTCTGGCCAGCTTAAATGTGGTCTATTTTCAGCATTACCAAGATCATCTTCAGGGCTCAAAGTGTTTGTTTTCGGTGTAGATATGTCATTGGTGAGTGTTGTGTAGAGTGTGCCCACACGATCTCTAAATAATCATTAATTATTTAGATTTAGATCACTAAATATCACACATTATAAAGATCCTTACTCTGGGAGGTGATGTAATGAATAGTCAAGGGTCATTATTACTGTATTATACATTTGCCAAGCTTTTGGCTCTATATTTGGTCTTCCTCAGGACACTACAACAACATAAAAATGAAAATTTTACAATTTCTTCTATAATCTGATTATATAACGCTTAATGTAAATATTATCTTTGTATTATAAAATCAAATCATAGTTGTAAGATTGTATAATTTTCATTTTTATGTCATTGCAGTGCCCTGAGGAAGGCCGAAAGCTTGGCATATGTATAGTACAGTGTTGTAATTAATTCAAGGACCACATACCTAATAAATTCTCAATTCCTTCAATGATTACAATGGATGTAGGTTTATCTGTGTTGCTATTGCATTTTTCTCTTTGACAGAAAATAATTATGGTCAAAGTGACTGTACAAGTGTCTCTAGTATCAACAGATAATATGCTGTGCATTACTTTGAATAGAATAGAATAAAATTGTTTTATAGTGTTCACAAGTTCATTGTACAAATGTCACAAAATAAATATACGATTCATTACTTTATGTTTTCTACATCCTCCTTGAATTCATCTTTGTGATATTTATACACACATATTTGTGGGTTTTCTAATAATAACTTTCTTATAATGATTAAGAATTCATTAGTTGGTAACAATTTTATCTTATTGGGAAGTGTATTGTATGTCACAATTGCTGTTTTTTTTTTCTTTGTTGTACAGAAAGGGATTACTAAATTATTATAATATCTAGTATTTATCTTGGTTGTTTCAAAGCAAGTCTCAATAATATGGCTTTCCTCAATATACTTTAAACTGGAGTAAATGTACAGAGCAGGTATGATCAACACTTTCAGCTCCTTGGCTAAAAGTTTACTACTATCCTTTGATTTTTTTCTTAAAGATTATTCTGAAGCCTTATTTGCATTTTTAGTATTTTTTCTGCATAGGTTTCACCTCCCCAAAATCTTATGCCATAATTTACAATTCCTTGAAATAGTGATAAATATACAGTTCGTAGTATATAGATATCAGCAGCATTTCTTAATTTTAAACTCACTCACTACCTTCCTGAAAGACCAAAACAGTGACTATTGTTTGTCCAAAATGGTCATACAAAGTAAAGTAGAATTTTTTTATTTTATTTTTTTATTCTACATGTTTTTTTAAAATTAATTCATGTAATTGAACACAATTGTTTCCAGTAATTTGACTTAATTATGTATAAGTGAATTTATGGCAAAATGTAAGTTTATAAATGTGTGGTGATTAGTGACCGTTAGTCGATGATTATTCAGAAATCGTGAGATGTGGTCTGGTGTGATGTAGGTTTCAGAAAAACATTTTCTTTATCATGCCAACGTTTTGATCTTTATTTAGATCATCTTCAGGACCTGGGATTTACAAACATTGTTTAAATTTAACAAATACATGTAGGATGTGGAAAAAAGTGAATTTATACAATGTAAAATATAGTTTTTATATTCAATCAAAGTATTTCTACTCCCTCAAAGTGTTTGTTTTCTGTGTAATTGCGCCATTCTTGTATGTCATGTTGCTCACTGGCACTCTCAACACGAATGCATTTGTTAAATTTAAACAATGTTTGTAAATCCCAGGCCCTGAAGATGATCTTAATAAAGATCGGAATGTTGGCACGATAAATAAAATGTTTTTCTGAAACTTACATCACACCAGACTGCATCTCACAATTTATGAATAGTAATTTTATAAGTTGTTTAGAATTAGAATTTTACAAATTAAAAAACACTATTTAACTGATCTTTTGGTTTTAACAAGATAACAAAGAGTGAAAAATGTATATGTAAACATTATAACTAATAGTTAAAACCACAATTTAAATTCAACAAATAAATATTTGTTAAATTGCAATTTTGTCCGTCATGAGTTTAATATCTGTTTTATTTACAAATTCTCTAAATATTGGGAAATTTTCCTTTCCAAGTTCTTTTTCTGGCATTGCCCATTTCTTCCCTTGGAGAATGTTTGTTCTGATCATAGAATCTAATACGGGACAGTCGTACAATATGTGGTCAATGTCCTGGACAGCCGGCCCATTTATGCATTTGTCAATTTCTTTCATTTTGAATCTGTGGAAATACTTCATATATGGGCCATGTCCTGACAAAATTGTAGTGAGACTGAGTGTAAATGGTAAAACATCTTTTATCACAGTTCTGGGTGGAATGGCAGGAAAGAATTTTTCAGTTTGTTGACCTTTTTCTAAAGCCTGCCATGTTTTATGCCACTAAAATCCATTGCTTTGAAATACCCAATTTCTTTCACATGAGTTTTCTGAACTCTATTGTAGCTTACTGTTAGAGACAAATAAGTAGGTGCTTCCTTTGTTGGACAGTTAGCCTCTTCGTTTTCCAGAATTCCATAATGAATTTTTTACTTTGTTGGTCTTTTTCTGAAACGTGCCATCTTTTATGCCACTAAAATCCATTGCTTTGAAATACCCAATTTCTTTCACATGAGTTTTTTGAACTCTATTGTAGCTTACTGTTAGAGACAAATAAGTAGGTGCTTCCTTTGCTGGACATTAGCCTCTTCGTTTTCCAGAATTCCATAATGAATTTTTTACTTTGTTGTCCTTTTTCTGAAGCCTGCCATCTTTTATGTCACTAAAACCCATTGCTTTGAAATACCCAATTTCTTTCACGTAATTTTTTGGAATAATTGAATTTTACTGTAAGAGTCAAATCAGTAGCCGCTTCCTTAGCTAGATAGTCAGCCTCTTCGTTTTCCAGAAGTCCAACGTGTGCTTTCATCCAACATAACTGGATCACCCCAGCATCCTAAGACAAATAGCACGTACGTGATTGTCTGTCATTATGGTAAATTTTAGATGTTCTTATTTTTTTTTACGCATGCAAATACTTCTGCACAAATCATCGCTGTCTAAATTGCTAGTTTTTGGCCTGTTTATTTGAACATAATTTATGTAATGTGAACTTTTCCACATATATATTTTTTTATCCTTATGATAAATTACATATGCAGCACCCAAGTGTTTCATTTTAATTGTTTGTTGGGGATTTTCATATCTTGGCTTTTCCCGCTGTAATGACAGCCAAGAGGGGAGAGTGATATCCAGTCCTCACGGAATCGTTCCACAGTGTTCATCTTCGCCAATAACTTAAAAATTGAACAGAAAACTTTAAAACTGGAAGTAGGAAAGAGTTCGAAAGCCGTAATTAGGCCGTAATAATTTAAAATAGTAATCTGCCTTAAATATTCTCACTAGCGGCGGCCCGTGAGAACTGGCATCCAGGAGGTTTCTAGAGCGTAGGGCAGGGGTCGGGGCTGTGCTATGCCGTTTTCGTGATCGCGAAGCGAAGCTTGGCCGAGAGAACGGAGAAGTCGAGCCGAGTCGAGGTGGTTGTGGTTGTGTCGAAGCCAAAATGGCGACAAGTGACGACGAGCCTATGCATCTTTACGAAGTGTTTCAGAATTGCTTCAACAAAATAGCCAACAAACAACCCGGTGAGTATTCGAGTCGAAAGACAACATTTTCAACCGTTGTAAACAAAAGCCACCTCGGTGAGCCCAGGGGCAGCCTCTGGCCCTGGCGAACATCCGTTTTCCCCGATCCCTCTTGTCTTTCTCCCTTTGACATTTAAAAACGACCGTTTTCAACGCCTAACCCACGCCCGGCCCCTTTTCCCGGCGAACGCATCGCTTCGTCGTTCAATTTCCCCAATTACGAATTGATGCCCTTGTTCGTCGAATCCGCTCCGACGAAAAACTCCGAGGTTACAAACTCCATGTTTATCCCCCTGAGATCTCGTTCCTGGTGTTGATTTCCACATTTTTCAATGTTTGGCTTCCCTCGACCGACGTCCGAACCGAATTTACATCTAAAGCTGAAATTCAGTTAATAAAAAATCATCTCCTCCCTGAAAATGTCGCCATGGGGCTTCTTTTGTTGTTGTTATTATTTTGTTTTTATCCTGGCTTTTCTCAACGAACTGTGCCTCCCATCTTTCCAACCCCTCGTTCAAAATGCTCACGACACCTGCTCCGTTGTACGATTTCAATTTTTAAATTTGGAACTTTTCTTCGTTGCTTAAGTACACTTGACACTTTAACAATCTAATCTGAAGTATCTAATATCTAACTCGAGCCGACAATTTTACCGGTTTTTAGCGATAAAAATGAGTTCCCTTTTGTATAGATAGATTTATTAATGAATAGCGTAAGTTGTAAAAAGTTTTTCATATTTTTTTACGTCCATTCTGAGTGATGTATAGTGCGTCAGTAATTGCTGTTGTGTATGCTAAAATAAGCCAAAGCTAAACTAATTTCTCCGTTCATCCAAGTGGTTTGACAAAAATTCAACCCTGTTTACTTAAATTGATAAAAATCATGTACTTGATCATAGACTGACTTGTTAACGCTCACTGTGCATCGGTATAAATTTTGGATTTGATCATAGCCTGAGTTCCCAGTTCTTGTAGTATGCTTGGAATATTGTTAACCGCGAATAATTTAGGCACTAAACCAACAAAAATTTTCTAAATTTATCTCATTTAATTAAATACCTTAAACCGTCCAAGTTTGCACTTTTGAAGAATAATTCCGAAGCAAACGTCTGTTTTCAGTTTCTTAAAATTATCTAGCTGATCATAGATTGACTTCGCAATGCTCATTATGCACCAATAATAAATAATAAATACCTAAACCGTCCAAGTTTGCTCTCTTGGGGAAGAATTCTGAAAGACCTGGCTTTTCAGTTTCTTAAAATAATGTAGCCCAATGTGCATCACTAATATTCTTCATCAAGACTTATTTAAGTATAAAACCGCAGGAAAGTGCAATTTGTCTAATTTCTGAGTTCTTCGATGTGGCTTGACAAAAATTCAACCCTGTTGCTTTAAATTTATAAAAATTCTAGAGTTGATCATAGCCTGACCTCTCAGTTCTTGTAGTACGCTAGGAATATTGTTTACTACGAATAATTTAGGCCCAAAACCAACAAAAATGTTCTATATTTATCTAATTTAATTACCTTAAACCGTCCATGTTTGCTCTCTTGGAGAATAGTTCTGAAGCAAACCTGTGTTTTCAATTTCTCATAATGCGTAGCTGATCATAAATTGACTCATCAGTGCTCACTGTGCATCACTAATATTGATAATCTAGAATTATTTAAGTATAAAACGGCAGAAAAGTTCAATTTATCTAATTTCTGTGTTCTTCGAAGTGGCTTGACAAAATCCAACCCTGTTTGTTTAAATTTATAAAATCATGTAGTTGATAATAGATTGACTCCTCAACGCTCAATGTGCACTAGTAATATTGTTTATAAAGATCAATTTAAGTATGAAACCTCAGAAAACCTAAATTTATCTTGTTTTATTAATTTCTGAGTTCTACCAAGTGGCTGTATTGACGAAAGTTAAGAAATAATCCTTTTCGTTTAAATTTATAAAAATCCTGCAGTTGATCATAGCCTGAGCTCCCAGTTCTTTGCAGTACGCTAGGAATATTGTTTACCATGAATAATTTAGGCACAAAACCAACAAAAACGTTCTAAATTTATCTCATTTTATTAAATACCTTAAACCGTCCAAGTTTGCTCTCTTGTAGAATAATTCCGAAGTAAACCTGTGTTTTGAATTTCTTAATAGCCGATTGACTCCTCAGCGTTCAATGTGCATCAGTAATATTGTTTATCAAAAATACTGCAGAAAAGTTCAATTTATCTAATTTCTGAGTGCTTCGAATTGGCTTCCCAAAAATTCAACGCTGTTTGTTCAAATTTAAAAAATCCTGGAGTTGATCATCATCGCCTGAGTACACAATTCCTGTAGAACCCTTGGATTATTGTTTACCACAAATAATTCACTTATAAAACCTGAAGAAAGTTCTAAATTTCCCTTATTTAACTAAATTACTTGATCAAATTTGCTCTCTTACACAGTAATTTTGAAGTACACCTGCATTTTTAATTTTTTGTAATCGTTGAGCTGATCATAGGTTGAAATATAAAACACCAGAAAACTGAAATCTTATTTTACTAATTGGTGCTTTATTTTAAGTGGCTCTGTTTACCAAAAATTCAGAAGCAACTCTGTTCGTTTAAATTTATAAAAACTATGGAGTTTATCATAGCGTGAGTTCCCAGTTCTTGTAATACTCTTGGAATATTGTTCATTGCGATGACTTGCAACGTGCAAAAATGTTCTAAATTTGTCTTGTTTTATTATAATATCTTTTGCGCACTTAGAGAAGAAATTTCGAAGTAAATCTGTTTCAATTTGTGTAATCATGAAGGTGGTAGTGGGTTGACTCCTCGGCGCTCAGGGGGGTAAAACACAGTAAAAATGTGCCAAATGTATCTAATTTCTGACTACTTTCGTTCAAGGGGTCATAAAGAAAAAACAATTTAGTATCACTTGAAACCCCAGTTTTCTGCATTGTTTATCACAAATAATTTATGTCATCAGAAATGTGCCAAATTCATCTAATTTGATTATCTTTTTAAAACATCCTAATTCTTGTCTGTAAGAATTGAGAAGCAGACCGGTTTGATTATATTTCTTAAAATCATTTCACAGTTCGTAGTAAAACTATTCAAATTTGTTAAAATCAAAGCTGTTCACACTTTTCAGCGGCTACAGTACGTCTGCAATATTATGCACGAATAATTAAAACAAAAACATGCCATATTATATATAATTAATTATTCACTTAAAAGAAAAATGTATATATGTTAATTAGTTTCATTTTCTCAGTGTGTAAACATTTTACCAATGGATTATCGTGATTGAAAATTGTTTAAAATATATTTCATGCGAGCTAACATATGTTGTACAATTGCATGTTATTACCAGGCTTATATTTAACCGAAGCCCTATTCAGCTTTCTTCTTTGAGCCCCGTGTTTAACTCCGATGTTTTCAAGTGTTTTGTGACGATTGCACCAATGGATATAAAACTGGTCTTTACGGATTTCAAAATAATTTTCGAACTACAAACGTAGAAATTAGTGTTAATCTTAAGCATCTAGAGCTAACGAGTATGATTTTGATTTTCCTTGTTTTTGTTTGTTTTCGTTATTGTATTTTACAGAAATGTACCAAACACATGAATTTGTTACATACGTGGGAAAATATTCAACAGACTTGCTTTCATTAAATAGTCCTCCCAATAGTTTAAATAATACTGGGAACTTCGTATTGAAAAAATGTCATATAAACATCTCTCTGGACGCCTTAAATAATCTTTGTCACGGATAATTTTGTACAAAACCGTAAAAAACCCAGCAAAATTTGTCGTGTTTCACTACTAAAATTTTGACCCAAAACGATCACAAATGTGTTAAATTTAAAATACCAATTAATTCCTACTATTCCATTGTTCTTTTATTCAAACATTCAAACGCAACACTGTTTATGTATTATTAAAATTTGGAGCTGATCATAGCTGACCCAGTTCTCACTGTACGCTTTAATTATTGTTTATCACGAATATTTCATGAAAACGGTCAAAAACCAGTTAAATTTGATCTTAATTAAGTAAATACCACATTTGTCCTACGGTGGCTCTATTGAAGCTAATCAGAAGCAATCCAACACACAATAAAAAAATAAAAAAAACCACAATAAATCGGAGCCTCAATCTATCTTATTTAATTGATTTCTGCATTCTTCCAAGACCCCTGACCCTGTTTGTTTAATTTTTTAAAAATCACGAAGTTGATCATGGCGTGAGTTAAGTACGCGTGGAATTTTGTTTACATCGAATAATTTATACATAAAACTTGCCGCATGTATAAACGATACATAAAACCTGCTAAATTCTTCTTAAGTTACCTTATATAATTAAAGGCATACACATCTATTATCATTTGCTCTCGACGAAAAATCCGATGTAAATCTGTGTTTCCAATTTCCTATAATCATGGAGTTGATTAGATTGACACCTCAGCGCTCTATGTATGTCAGCAGAATTTTTTATGAATAATAATTTAAGTATAAAAATTATCTTATTTAACTAATTTCAACGTTCTTTCAAGTGGTTTTTCACCCAGTTTGTTTAAATTTATAACAATCATGGAGTTGATCATAGCCTGTGTTCCCAGTTCGTATTGTACGTTTGGAATAATTTTTACCACGAATGATTTACTCATAAAACCTGGAAAAAAGTTCTAAATTTATCTCATTTAATCAAATGCCTTCAACCGACCGAGTCTGTTCTGTTGACAAAGAATTCCGACACGGAAACCCTGTGTTTTTCAACTTCTTAAAATCACGGAGCTGATCATAGTTTGACTCATAAAACTGCAGAAAAGTTAAATTTAATTAATTTACGAGCTATTCGAAGTGGCTCTCACCCTCTATGTTTCAATTTATAACGATCATAGCCAGAGTTCCCATTTCATGTCGTACACTTGGCAAATTGTTTCCCACGAATCATTTATACTATAAAACCTACAAAAATGTTATGAATTTATCCTAAACTTATCATAAACATATTATT